GAGTCTGCTTCTCCCTCTCCCTCTGCCCCTCTCCCTGCTTGTGTGCCCTCTCTCTGTCTCTCTCTCTCTCTGTCTCTTTGTCTCAAATAAATAAATAAAATCTTAAAAATAAAATAAGCTAAAATTTAATTTTAAATATAGCTAGTATGCACAAATTTGGAAGCCAGCTGGTGCTTGGAAATCACACAGTTCCCTGGGAAGAAAGGAGTGTGCAGGTATTCTAAGAAGAAACCAACTAGCCACAAGCATTCAGGGTGTCCTGGATGTCAGCACATTTTATACAGAAGATGCCAAACTTCAGCAGGTCAATTATGAATTGATCACCAGGATCTCCCTTCCCTGCATCCACCTTCCCCCACCATAATTCAGTCTCCCATGGCAGCCATGGTTTTCTTTTTGAAAAACATAAATCACAGCATGTTTTTTCTCTATTTAAAAACTTTCAAGGTTTCCCATCATACTTGATATTACAACATTCAGACTTACATGGCCTTCAAACATGATTTCACTCTGCCAATTACTCTCCTTAATGGCAGTGCACATGGTCCCTTTTCCATTCCTTGAGTCTATTAAGGTCTTCTTCCTCCTAACCTGGCCATATCTCCTGTCTAGAATGCTCCTCCCAGAATCCTGGCAGGCTCTTCTCTTAAGTCATAGGTTAAATATTACCTCTGTAGGCAACCTAAAATAGTATTCAAAGCAGTCACCTCCATCTTAGATTTCTGTTTTTTTTAAGATGTTATTTATTTTAGAAAGAGAGCACGAGCAAGGAGAGGAGCAGAGGAAAACGGAGGGGGGGAAAGAATCTCAAGCAGACTCTGTACTGAGTGCAGAGCCCCAGGTGGGGCTCGATCTCACAACCCTGAGATCATGACCTGAGTTGAAACCAAGAGTTGGTCGCTTAACCAACTGAGCAACCCACGCGCCCCTTAGATTTCTTACTTTTTTACCTACCTCCCCAGTGCATCCCAAAAAGCAAGGCTTTGTCTTTTTGGGTCATGATCCCAGGGTCCTGGGATCGAGCCCCGCATCGGGCTCCCTTTCTCCTCTAAACTTTGCTCTTCCCCATCACCACCAAGCTTAGGAGAAGATCTGGCACATAGTAAGTGCTCAAAAGTACTTACTGGATGATTAAGAGAGAGGCCTAAATTAGGGAAATATTAGAGAAAATAGAGGTATTTGAAATAAAATTGAGTCTTGGGGATTGATACTCTCTGGGTAGATTGATATGCTACTAACTGAGGAAGAGAAAGACAACAGTGAGATTTAGGGAGGCAGGTGGTAGATTGGGACATGCTGGATTTGAAATACTATAGGCAATCCAAGGCAGTTGGATACAATCATCCAGAAATCAGGGCAGGGGTCTGCCTTATAGAACTCAAATCAGATTAATTAGGAGGTATTACCCGTTTTGTTCTTCATATCCCTTGTCCATAATACAGTGGTCTAAAACCTATTAGGGATTCCTATATTAGCAGTACTGAAATGAAGAAGACCAACAGTGCATGACTTCATGTGTACTATGGTGACAAGTGTCATGGAGATATGTCTGATGGGCCCAGGTGTCTCATTCAGTTAATTTGTTTTTCATTCCATCAGTAATTTGTTATCAGAGAAGATTATGTTTTTCTTCTTCCTGTAGAGGAGATACCATAATAGCACAATATCACAAAGTTTGTCTTTTTTTGTTTAATATTTAGTAATTCTTTTTTAGATTTATTTATTTATTTATCTGACAGAGAGAGACATAGGAAGAGAGGGAACACAAGCAGGGGGAGTGGGAGAGGGAGAAGCAGGCTCCCTGCAGAGCAGGGAGCCCAATGCAAGGCTCAATCCCAGGACCCTGGGATCATGACCTGAGCTGAACGCAGATGCCCAACCGACTGAGCCACCCAGGCACCCCTGTTTAATATTTAGTATTTAAAGCAAAGTTTAAGAAAAGGAAGAAAGTCAGACAATAGAATGGAGAAGTTTTATTTCACTAGTAATCAAAGAAATATAGTTACAATATGGTATTTTCACTAGGGTATGGAGAAATGAAGTCTGCATTGTTGGTGAAGTGTGAATTGGTTTAAGAATATTTCTGGAGCGGGCGCCTGGGTGGCTCAGTTGGTTAAGCGACTGCCTTCGGCTCAGGTCATGATCCTGGAGTCCCTGGATCGAGTCCCGCATCGGGCTCCCTGCTCGGCAGGGAGTCTGCTTCTCCCTCTGACCCTAACCCCTCTCATGTGCTCTCTCTCATTCTCTGTCTTAAATAAATAAATAAAATCTTTAAAAAAAAAAAAAAAGAATATTTCTGGAGCTAATTTGGCTACATACAACAAAACCATTAAAAATGTTCATAGCCTTCAACCTAGGAATTATACTTCTAGGAACTTAAACTAAAGAAATATATGCAATGTGTAAAGATTTGCTCAAAGGATGTGCATCACATTTATCACAAACACTTCAACCAAAGTTTCTCGTGCTAAGGGGATTTGTTAAATATTTATGGCATATAAAACAGTAGACTCTCTTGTATTCAATAAAGTGATATTTCAAAGAAGATTTAAAGATGGTCATGATATACCACTAATTGAAAGAAGCTGGTTACAAAACATTATGATGTCACTTTTATAAGTAAAAAGTTACATATTTATGCATTTGTATACAGAAAGAATACAGTAAATTGATAGCCATGGTTATCTACTTGAAGGAATTATGAAGGAAGTTTATTTTATTTTCATGAATCTCTGAATTTTCTACAACAAGCATGTGTTACTTTGTAATTTTAAAAATTATTTTTTAAATTAATAATAACTAACATGTGTCTTGCCCTACCATCTAGTCTCTGTTCAACTCATGGCAAATTCCTCAACCTGTCTCCTGAAAGAAAAAGATAATGCCATCATTGTGGCCTAAATGGAGTAGGAAAATGCTAACTCCAGTCTATCACATAGTAGGCACTCATAAATGAGCAGAAGCTGACATCCAGCCTCCTGCCTGAAATACCATCATCATTGGCCACTCAGGAATCCATCTGTAAACCTAAAATACTGTGGAAATCTTTTATTAAAAATGACTTTCATGGAGAGACTGAATTCCTTAACCATGTTATTCCATCATCTACCCTATATTTTATTTATTTTTTAAAGATTTATTGATTTATTTTAGAGAGAGAGCATGAGGGGGGGAGGGGCAGAGAGAGAGGGAGAGAGAATCTCCAGCAGACTCCGTGCTGAGTACAGAGCCCAACACAGGGCTCAGTCCCACAACCCATGAGATCATGACCTGAGCCAAAACCAAGAGTCGGACGCTCTACCAACTGAGCCACCCAGGGGCCCCATACCCTATATTTTAAATTTGGAAGACTCGAATAGGCTTTATCCAGTTTACAAATGGTTTATGTTCTAACCACATTTCCAAGTGCTGCATTCGATAAATGGCAGTTTATCAAACTAAACTTAAAATGCCTTTTAGATTAATCTATACTATCCTGGAAATTTGTATAATGTTTGCAATGGGACAAAATGGTTTTGAACTGGTACTTAAATCATAATGTAATGACATATTTATCTAGACACACAGGGCTTGAGGGAAGCAGTTTAATTAGTGATGAAAAGTAAGTAGAGATTTCTGTAAAGAATCTAATGGGAGATTGCAAAGTGAGCCAGGCCAAACACAAAGAGATGACGCAGTTTTGAAGTCTGCTTAAAAAAATGACAACTCTGACCACCTCAACTAAATAAGCCAATGAGCAGTGCAAAAGATTTGCATAAGGATACAAGTGAGCAAGGAGATGGCTCTCCTTGTCCTCCCCGGCTCCTCATGAAGGCGCACCTCGCCCGCTGTGGTTCCTGCAGCAAACGTGGGGTGACTGAATGCACCAGGTCACAGGAGTAAAGAAAGCACTGGCCTTCTGTGCCTTCCATGCCGTCAGGCTGCAGTGGGACCAGGTCTAGCCGTAAAAGTCTAACTCATGCCATATAAGGAAATTCCTCGCAGTTCCAAAATACCTGACAATGCTGTTTTTTAAGTGTCTTCTTGCATGCAGCGGGCCAAGTCCTGGCCTGCCTGCCCCTGGCTCATAAGAAGGTGGCTGGCACGGAATTTCTTTGTTTAGCCTAAGTCTATCAGTCACCAGCTCTAATATTATGCTTATTAATCAAAATAAGGTCTGTTTTTGCTTAAAACAGAATATTGTTTTTACCATGGTAACTAGACAGGAATTAGAAGACAGCGTGGAAGGAGTGAGAGTTGGCCCACAGTTGGATTAATTCAAGTCTACATGTAAAAGAAGACAAAGCCACCACAGCTCATGGGCTCAAGCCCCCGTGGGTACAGAAAGCTGAGCAGAGGAGTATGCTGGATGCACCGGGCAGACAAAAGCAGCCGGGCACTCGGTCTGGGACATCCATAATGTGGTACGCGGCAGACCCTTCAGATACGCAGTCAGTGGTTAATTTAAGTGGCTCTTGGAGAAGTTGGTTTTATAGTATGTGAACAACTTTATGTTCAAAATACTTTAACTGTAGGTACTGAAAGAGAAATACATTTAGGAACATCTTTAATTTTTTTAGCCAGATAATACATGAATTCCTCAATAAAAGTTGATGTAGTTTACATCGATATGTATTTACAATGCCTTCCTCAAAATATTTTTTTAAAAATCTTTTGGGTTTTACTTTTCTGAGCATTTCATATCTACCAAATATTTCCTAATTTTCTCCAGTTCTTAGAGCCCCAGAACTTTGCAAGTTCACTTGCCTCTTACTCCAGTTCCAGTTAAGAATATACCTTAAGGGGCACCTGAGTGGCTCAGTTGTTAAGCGTCTGCTTTCGGCTCAGGTCATGATCCCAGGGTCCTGGGATTGAGCCCCACATCAGGCTCCTTCTTCGGCGGGAGGCCTCCTTCTCCCTCTCCCACTCCCCCTGCTTGTGTTCCCTCTCTCATTGTGTCTCTCTGTCAAATAAATAAATGAAATCTTAAAAAAAAAAATCCTCTAAAAAAAATATACATACCTTAAAATTGAACAGACCTGTGTCTGAGTTTTGGTTCTGCTTCTTACCAAGTGGAACGGATTATTTTGCTTCTCCAAGCCTCGGTGCTCATATAAAATGAAGATAATAATAGTGCTTTGGTTTTGTATGCTAAAAGGAGGACCTATGAAAGCAGGTGTCAAGTGCTCAGAAACATTTTAGGCATTGTCCTCAATTACCCAAAACTTTGTCATCTGTATGCATGCAGGCATTTAATCAGCAAACGTTATCAGCCATCTACTGCGTGGTCGGGCACGCGCTTGGCACTCGCTGCAATGAACAAGGCTCTTTGTGACCCAGCTCTTTGTGTGACCTTCTTTCTGGGATGCCCAGGAAGTTAGACCCATAGTGCCTGGTACCTTCCTCCAGCAGAAGAAGTACAATCTTACTAGCTCTTACTACTTTGTATCGTACTCCTTTGTTTTCAGTCCATCCACCACATAGACTCTAAGCAACCCTTGACTGCTTATGCCATAGTGCTGGGATACACATGCCAGGGGCTCAATATATTGGTTGCACATGAATGGATTGTGACCACCCTTGGAAATAACATTTTAAAATAAGGTATTTGGAACTCCTAGCCCCCAGTCATTTAATACTTTATAAACTACTCACAAGTAATATGGACCCAGGGGGTCTATTCTAACTAGGAGCACTTTAGAAATTAGCTGGTCCAAACAGCCTCCAGCATAAAGCCCCTCTGTAGAAAGCCCGCTATGCCCACAGAAGCAACAGTGATCAGGAAGGCTCTCCTGCAGTGGTTGTTATGTGGCAGTTTGCAGACAGACTCTACCTCCCTAGACACGAATCCCAGAACTTGGATGCCTGAAAGCCCATCAAGTCTTCTGCTCCAGACCTCTCATTTTGCAGATGAAACCTCAAACCAGAAAAAATCACACGAACGCAGTAAGCAAGTGGTGGAGCATCATGGAAAAAAGTCTCTGTGGCTCTCAGTCTAGGGCTTCTCTTTCCTATGTTTGGTTATAGCTCTAAAGACTTCATGAATGATGTTTCATAGCCATTATCTGTGAATTCTTCTCCACAGCCAGTGAAGGGAGAGTTCTCAATTTTGTCCCTGAGCCCAGGTTCCAGTTCTCCCTCTTGGGTTGAGGTTGACAAAGGATGTTAGAGAAGAAGCGCGTCACACTTTAATACCAACAGCAAGGTTGAAGGACTTCTGACATGAACCTAGCTGCATGCATCATACCCACTTCTCTGAAGTCTTTGAAAATCGCTGCCCCTTCCAATGCCTGGAACCTCATAAGTAAGGAGCACTGTTCCTCTGACGTAATGGAAATGGGAGTCAGGGCCACAATCCTGCAGTCTTTCTTTCTGCCAGCGAGCCGGGAAACACTTCCCTCTGGGGCTGCTTGTTAGAGAAGTTACCTCTGTTGTGTAACTTGTGGCTGAGCAAGGTTGTTGGGTCCTATAAATTCTGTGAGTAGACCAGGGCATCTCCGGAGGGCCGCCCCAGGCCTCACTGCACCCCTGATCCGTTTGTTGTCCCTGACAGCGTCGCCCTACTGGTCTGCAAGACTCACTGGAGTGCGAGATGAAGCAAAAGCAAGGATTCCAAAGACTACTTCCTTTCAGTTAAACCATATGGCCTGTCTAGTTGCCTAGTTTATAAAGACCCATTTTCAATTCTAAAGCTTCAATTAATAAAATCCAAACTATCAATTTCCCACAAACGGAGCCTCCTACGGCGGATTTCAGCAGACGCCTAGTCTTCGCCTTTCCGAAGAGCTTAGAGTGCCGCCTGGTGGGAAGGATGTGTAGTCGCGCTTGATAACATACCCTGTAGAAGAAAACATCACGGGGGGACAAGTCAGGAACACAACAAATTGAAAATCCCAACAGTCTCAGTACTCCACTGCTGTTTTACGGGTTTGTCAGACCTAAAGGAGATATATTCCAAGTTTTATCTCGACTATATCATTTAAGAAAGTGTACTACCTGAATGAGGGTATTCATCTCACCAGATCTCAACTAGCCTAAATAGGATTGTATTTCATTTACCATAGAATATTTTGGTAAATTTTTCTGTTTAACTTCATAAGGTAGGAACATGAAATTGACCCACGTCTTACCCATTTTTTTTTAATCTGAAATGCTTAAAAGTCATTATCAGTCATTATCAGCTAAAAAGTCATTATCAGGACTCCTGGGTGGCTCAGTCAGTTAAGCATCTGCCTTTGGCTCAGGCATGATCCCAGGGTCCTGGGATGGAGTCCTGCATCAGGCTCCTTGCTCCGCGGGGGACCCTCCTTCTCCCTCTACCTGCTGCTTCCCCTGCTTGTGCTCTCTCTCTCTCTGACAAATAAATAAACAAAATATTTTTAAAAATTAAAATTAAAAATAAGTCATTATCAAGTTTTAATAAACTTTTCTATTTATTCAATTCTGTTATTTTACCTATTTAATAGTTACACAACATTGACAGGTGCCTGTTTCTTGAAGTTCTTTTTTTTTTAAGATTTTGTTTATTTATTTGACAGAGAGAGAGCACAAGCAGGTGGAGTGGCAGACAGAGGGAGAGGGAGAAGCAGGCTCCCGCCATGCAGGGAGCCCAACGCGGGGCTGGATCCCAGGACCCTGGGATCATGACCAGAGTCAAAGGCAGACACTTAACCAACTGAGCCACCCAGATGCCCCTCTTTAGGTTCTTAATAGTTCTGTGTCAGAACTCCTCCCTACGTTTTCATTTTCTCACGTGATCTTTATTTCTTTACAAATCCTTTTTCTTGTTCTTTTTTTTTACTTCGGCTAGTTTTCTAAAAGTGGCATTTTGAAATGCCTTATTTTGAAAAAATAAATTTTTTTCTCTTACTCCATACCTTCCTTTTGAGGAAGAGTTTGATAATCCGAGAGCAGTAGCTTTGTTCGAATAATTAAAAGATGGAAAGCTGCTATTTGACTAGATAGAAATGGGACATTTCTCCATACTGTCAAAACATATCACAGAAGCTAGAAAGCCTCCTGGATTTTCTACCATTTATCCTACTCCTTCCTCAGTTGAATTTCCACTCACTGGATGTTAGCCTTCCTCTTCTCTCTACAGCTGCAATTTTTCACTCCAAACTCTGACTCTTCTACAGGTTATCCTTTGCCCTACAGCCCTCTAATGATCAAGTGGCTCTAAACACCTCAACTTTGATGTCCAAAGCCAAACTGATCCTTTTCTTCCCCAGCCCCCATCCCAGGACTGCTCTTCTCCTGATATCCCTTATCTCATAGAAAATGGCCCAACTATATGCCAAGTCACTCAAACAAGAAATCAAGGAATATCTGTGACTCCTTAGTCCCCTTTGACTTTCCTCTATATCGAAACCCCATTGCCATGCTCTCAGCTCATGCCAGCCTCTCAGTAGACGTCTCTGTGTTCACTTTGCCCCTCTTCAATCCTTTCTCTATTTTTGTGATAGATTAAACTTTGTAAAATGCAAATTGATCCACATTTAAGAATCCTCCATTGAATCCCAAACACTTTCAGCACAAATCCACACTCCGACACCAGGGTATTTGAAGCCTTCATCATCTGGCTCCTCGTCTTCCCAGTCACTGTCCTCCTCCCTGTGTTCCAGCCATCCTAGATGCCAGCCTACACCTTCCTATCTCCTTGCTTTAGCCACTGCCCACTACCTCCTCAGACGAGCTCCTTCAGGACTCAACTCAGGGAACAGGTTGTCCAGAAAGCCAGCCTAAGGCATCCATGCAACACTGAAACACTTTCCACATTGCATCGCACTGTCTTTTTAGGCGCTGGCCCTCCCCCAGCTAGACTTCTAGGGCAGGAACGGTTGTTATCCCTTTTTGAAAACCTAATGCCCTACAGAGTGATTGTTGTATTTGTTGGAGAAATTGTGACCGAGATGATAATGGAGAACCTCTGTGACTTCTTACCATGTGCCAGGAGTGACATGGATGTTACATGTATTGTTATATTTAATTTTCTTCTTGACTCTATAAAGATATTTTTTAAATATTTATTTTACAAATGAAGAAAATGAGAGTCCACAAAGTTAAACAAAATATCTGCAATTCCAAATCCCCTTTTAAGAAAGGACTTACCCCCTCATCTGCTGACGAGAAATCTATGGCACTGCTCAACCAGGGCTATGCCCTCTCTCAAGGCAACCACATTCAATGGGGGGATCACCTCCACTCAGTCTCACTTCAGATCATCTCGTGGGGTCAGCTAAAGCCTCTTTGGAGACTTCATTGCACCTCAACTTCTAGTCAGTCCTTCCTTCCCCTCAACCCTTCCTTCGGTGTTGATGCCACAACCATTCCCAAACTAACCTGTCTACTCTCCGTCCTGAGTCAGCTTCCCAGGGAACCTGGCTAGTACCAGCCTCACAGCTAGTAAATGATGGAGCCAACAGTTGGACCAGAGCGATAATCAGCAGCTGTGCTCTAGGCCCACTAGACTGCCCTGCCTCCTCTGATAAATAAGCCTTGCTTATCCTTGTATCCTTGGAATAAAGCGTAGGTACTCAGTAAATATTTGCCAATTCACTTTTTCATCTGACTTTGGAACCATGTGTTTATAGCTCTTGACCTCAAACTTCACAACCTAGTCTGTTGCCATGAAGAAGCAGGCAAAATTCTGAAGTTCATGATTCTAGGATCAAGTCAATCAATGGTAAATTTAATTACTTCAAACAGTACAAAAACATTCTCTAATCTTAGACTTTTTTCAACTTATCAGAACTTTTAGAAACTCCAAATTTTAGCAGTTATACTTCCACTCCTTAAACACAAGCCCAATCCAAGTCATATTTATGTTATTTTACTAAAACCTTTAAGGCTATTAAAAAGCAAAACGTTTTAAAAGCCTGGCTTATTCAGAAGAGCATGTGACTCTTGATCTCAGGGTCATGAGTTCGAGCCCCACGCTGGGTGTAGAGATTACTAAAAAAAATAAACAAACTTAAAAAAAAAAAAAAAAGTGATCCTGAGTGTACAGGGAATGCCCATGTCACACATTTAGCCTCCCTGCCCTTTAAAATCTGCACGGGGTGACGTCAAGCACCACAGCCATCTGAAGCCTTTGGCTACAACAGAGATCTAGATCCTGCCAACAAACATTTTCAGGTAAAACAGCTCAAATTCCTTTTAACTTTAGTTTTAAGATATGATCTTGAACTCTTCGATCTTGACTAAGACCTAAGCTACAGAAGGGCTAACTTTTCAAATAGGGACTTGGGGAGCATTCTTTACAAGTGTTTGAACTGTTATTGGCTTAATCTTTTTTTTTATGTTAATCACCATACATTACATCATTAGTTTTTGATGTAGTGTTCCATGATTCACTGTTTGCATATAACACCCAGTGCTCCCTGCAGAACCTGCCCTCTTTAATACCCATCACCTGGTTAACCCATCCCCCCATCCCCCTCCCTCCTAAACCCTCAGTTTGTTTCTCAGAATCCGTAGTCTCTCATGGTTCGTCTCCCCCTCCAATTTCCCCCCCTTCATTTTTCCCTTCCTTTTTGGCTGAAGTTTGCTCTCTTTCTCTGCAAAAAGGAGGAAATGTTCTTTTAAAAAAAAACTATCAGATAAAAAGATTAGATAGATAGATAAATAAGTTTTAAGAATGCTATGTGGCTCAGTTTCCTAGGAGCTCATTACAAAGTTTTAGGCTTCTGCGACTTTTCATTATCTAAATTAAAATAACCTAGGAGAAATACCAATAAGAGTCTAATGTTAAACTATGAAGTGTTCACCCTTTTCACAGTCTGGCTCTCTGCTGCCCTCTACAGCCAAGGAAAGGCAAGGAACGGTCCTTTCTTAGGTCCCACTACTGGCCTGGGACTATTTCCTCAAGTATTTTATGCATGTGTGTGTCATCTTGTGAGGGAAGCACTAGTATCAGCAGAGATGTAGGGAAGAGTTTAAGGAGATAGGTATTAAACAAAAGGAGACCTGAATTCAAATTCTTAATTTTAATTTAGCAATTGTGTGGCCTCAGGAAGTTGCTTAATGTCTTTGAGCCACTTTCAATCTTACTATTAATGGCTATTTATTTTATTACCTACTATATTAAAACCTATTTCATAACCATGTTTTACAAACTAAATGAAATATTAAATACGACCCTTTGCACTTAGTTGGCATGTAGATAGCATATGACAGATGGTGATAATTGTTATTTAACTATTAATAACTATTGTTATACCTCTGTTGCTCTGAAAATTGACAAGAGCATGAAGAAAACATTTGTTAAGCATTAACTTTGTACCAAGTACTGCACTAGCTTTACATACATATTCCCATTTAATTCTTATGACAATCTGATGAGATTAATGATCGTATTCCTATTATTTCATTAAAGAACTTCAGCCTCAGAAAGATTAAGAAACTTTCCCAAGGTCACACTGCTAGACTGTGACCTATCTAAAAGCAGGATCTGTGTCTTGTTTAAATTCCCACCACCTATCATGGAGTAGTTTTTGGTGAATGAACACATGAACAAATGAATGAATCAATTGGGCAACATATAAATGAAATATCACAGGAAACCTCTAACTTGTACTTGACTGGAGCTTGGGATAGAGCTCATGGCGAGAAATACACGTGATGACAGGACCATGCTTTATTAAACTGTGTGTGTGTGTGTGCGTGCACATACATGTGCAGGTATCTTCCCCACAGATTTCCTCTACTCAGTAAGACCACCAAGCTATCCCTGCAAAGGCAGTAAGCAGGGGATGGAAAGTTCACGGGTGGGGGGTGGCACCAGAAGTGCTTGCTTCATTTGTCATTTGTCTCCCTCTCAGGAATCTCAGTCTAATGCTGCCTGTTGTCCAATGTCTGTAAACTATTGTTTCGTGTATTTTGTCCACTTGTCTAGTTCTCTGAGGGTGGGAAGTAAGTCCAGTTCCTGGATTTCTATCATGGCCCAAAAGATGTAAAAAGTTCATAGTCATTCATTTAGTATTTATTGAATACCTACTGTATATTAGGAATTGTGCAGAATCTTGGGATGCACTATTGAACTGGAAGAGGTGCAGTTCATACCCTCATGGGGCATGAAGGGAAGAACAAAAATAAGTACGCATTCAAGCAATATAAACCCTGAGAGGTGATTAGAGAGAGAGCAGAGTACTGTGAAAGCATAGAATAGGGAGACTTGATTTAATCTGTGCAATCAAGAAAAGCTTCCCCAAAATAAAGAATATTTTAACTAAGATTTAAGGAATAAGTAAGATTTGGTATGTGTGTGTGGATAATGGGAAGACTGCAAAGAACAGCATATGCAAAAGGCCTGTGGCAGGATGGACCCATTAGAGATCAAGTCCAACCCTCAGAGTTCCCAGTGAAGAAACAGAGGCTCAGAGTTTATGACATGGCTGGTCATACTGCATTAGCAGCAGAGCAGGGGCTGGGATCCAGGACTCTTACCTCCAGCTGTTGTGTTCTATCCATTCCGGTATGTAGCCCAGCAGATGTAGGGAATACTAGAACATTTTATATAATGACATTTGTCATTTTATGGTCCATGACATATTATGGGCAATACATAATTTTGTCATTTATTTTCACTTAAAAACAATTATGACCAAAATTTTATTCATGATATACTTTTAATTGCTTCTTTTTTTTAAAAAAAGATTTTATTGATTTATTTGACAGAGAGAGACACAGCGAGAGAGGGAACACAAGCAGGGGGAGTGGGAGAGGGAGAAGGAGAAGCAGGCTTCCCCGCGGAGCAGGGAGCCCGATGCGGGGCTCGATCCCAGGACCCTGAGATCATGACCTGAGCCGAAGGCAGATGCTTAACGACTGAGCCACCCAGGCACCCCTAATTGCTTCTATTTTTATGTATTTACAAGGAATATGCCGTAAAGGGTAACAAAATGTACAAGAGAGCACAGAATAGAAAAAAAATGAGCATTTACACATTCAGCACGCTGAAGCCATAACGGCATCATAATGGCCTGGGAGTGTTAACATGGCTTCCTAAGTGGCTAAATTATACCCAGGAGATGCTCGCTCAGCAGTGTAAGCAGCTAGTGCTTTCAGACATTTTGGGAAGTGCATCCATTGCCCCATTGCAAGCTTAATTGCCATAATAAATGTCAATTAAAGCTCCTTTAAGATTTTAAACTGCAAAACTCAAGTGAAACTACTTATGTGTAGACTCACACAAGACTTCCCTCCATGAAGTCTCTCCTACAAGAGACATGGTGTATTTGCATTTACCATGGGATAGATATGTTCTAACAGATACACACAGCCAACTTGCATTCACTTAGAAAAGAAAGTTATTTTCTCTAGCTATAAACACATCACTTTTCCATGACTTATAAACTGTTACATGTTTTATATGTCAATAGAAATCCATTTTCTTTCAGCAAATGTATAGAGAGCACCTACTATGTGCCGGGACTGGAAATACAGTAGCATGTAACATGATTCTTTGTAATTTTTATTTATAAGGCTTAAAAGACAAATTACTCATCCAGTGCAAATATAAAACAGGGTCTTTGTTAACTTCTGAACGTGGCAAAAACATTTTTTTATGTCTTATGTACAGCTCACTAATTTGGGTGTCAACAAATTCCATTTTAGTTTAAGTAGCCCAAGCTGCCAATTGTTTGATATCATCATCCTCTTCTTCTGCCCTCCTGGAAGATGCTGGAACAAAATGGATAAAAATTAGCAATTGGTTACATTCACACCTGCAGCACAGAAAGCAGGTTTGCATACGGGTATTAAAAGGTATATATTTATGAAACAAAAAATAAGTGCTAAAAGGGATTGACCTGGCTAATTATTTCAGGGAACTATCTGACCATAGGCAGTTGATGTGGGCAACAGACCTGCTCGGGATCGATGTGCAGCGGGGGACGTGCCTGCCATTCTCCCTGGCATTCTATCTGGCTGTGCTGGGAGGGAGGAAGAAGGCACATTTGGAAGCCGGATATTTGTCATCTTCTTATTTAATTCTTCCTGCTCCAATTCTTCAAGTTCTGCCATCAACTCATCCTGAACATAGGAGAAAGAAAGAATTATGGAATTAACGTTTCAAGAAGTGGGTTTCCTCAAACACAATAATAAGAACATCTGCTACCCAATTGATATGTGAGAACCCAGTGAAATGGAATATTTATTTTAAGACTAAGTCTTTTTTGCAACACTGAGCAATGATTAAAAATGAATATTTTGGGTTGTGCAAATTTGTCGTAGTTAATCTTATAATACTTCAGTAAACAGTTATTCAACTAATTTGTGCTAGCTGAATATATAACCTCCACAATTTCTAGGAAATTTACACCTTGCCTGTCATTTTCCAACGTATCTTTTCTTTTCTACTGTAACAAATTAAGAATCTGTAAAACTTTAACTGGAGCAAATATTTTCATCTCGGCTAATGCTTTTGAAAATAAAACAACAGGTATAGCAAAACTATAATGTACAGAAAGTAAAAAGAATCAAAGATACAAAGTTTCTCTGTAAAATTACCAAAGCCAATATAAATCATGCTGTGTGTTTGGGTTTAGAAAACTTCCAAGTCAACGTAGGTACACTGTACTTCCTTCTTTTAGCTATAGTCTCAGAGAGTCTGGTTTAATCCTAAACTATTCTCTGCCTGAAGAAACTTAGACAAGACCAGTTTGAGACTTTAAAGGCATAAGTCACCTTATGTCAGATATGACATAACTGCAGTAGTTCAGATCTAACTGGCTCCATGAGTACTCAGGTAGAGTCCAACCCCCTCTCCGCCCCCAACTCTGAGAGAGGTTGGGAGTTGAAACTAAACTTGTCATTATTAGGATTCTAAGACTGTCACTATTAGAAATGACCTAAGGCGGGGCGCCTGGGTGGCTCAGTCATTAAGCGTCTGCCTTCGGCTCAGGTCATGATCCCAGGGTCCTGGAATCGAGCCCCGCATCGGGCTCCCTGCTCTGTGGGAAGCCTGCTTCTCCCCCTTCACTCCCCCTGCTTGTGTTCCCTCTCTCGTTGTGTCTCTCTCTTCAAATAAATAAAATCTTTAAAAAAAAAAAAAAAATGACCTAAGGCGCTCTTACACTCGACCAAGGAGATTCTTTGTTTATTCACTCATTCATCACTGAACAAATTTATTGAAAGCTCATTCATGGTCAGGTACTGAATTCAATGCTGGGGATGAAAAGTTGAATCAACAGTCTCTACACTTAAGGAACTCATTATCGAATGTGGGAGAAAGGTAATAAATCATCATCTTATATTAAAGTGAGAGTAACAATACCCTGGGCCAAGACAGGAGATACTTAAGTCAACCACAACATTTGATCAAGTCAGTTTATATCAGATGTGCAGCAAGCTTAACGATTGTCTGACCACTGTTAAATCTACCTCATGAAAGGGAAATAGATCATGAAAGTATATGTCGTCACTTTCACAGGCCATGTGAAATAACATGGCCAGTGTACTTGCGTGCTTTCGGTTTTCCACAGGCAATATGAATAAAGTGCCTTCAGAATGAATGATGCCTACTTCTGCTCACAAAATAAATGGGAACAAATATAGTAAATACTGTAATATGGCACCACACAGTATCCTACACTGAATGGGCGCCCAGAACTGCTGATAGCACTTGATAGTTATCAACAGCACCGAGAAGATACTGGTATTTTCGCTTTAGCAAATATGACAGGATAATCATCTCCTCCGTCAATTATAGACTTGGAGTACCGAACACTTGTTCACTGATAAAATAATTCTAGAATTTAAGAAACTTCAGAGATAATCTAGCAATACAGTAATTTTTCTTTTGCAGATGAGAACTAAGGGTCAGAAAAGTGAAGAGGCTTACACAAAGTTGAGTAACAAATGGCAGAACCCAGATGTCCTCGTGAGCCTTTCCACCGCATCGAAATGCACTCATTAGATGCTTATTAGTCTAACCAGGGCTAGGCAACATTTTCTGCAAAGCGCCAGATAGTGATATTTTAGGCTTGCTGGTCACATACAGTCTCTGTTGCGCAGCCTTCTTTGTTTCTAGTGTTATTGCTCTTATTTTCTGCAGTCCTTTAAACAGGTAACATCCTTAGCTCAGGCACCATACAAAAAGACCACGGGAAGGATTTGGCCTAAAAGCCAAATTTTCTAACCCCTGGTCTACACCATTTGGGGAGGGGGGATATATATTTTTTATTTTAATTCCAGTATAATTAACATACAGTGTTACATTAGTTTCAGGTGTACAATATAGTGATTCAACAGTTCTATACATTACTCAGAGCTCCTCATGATAAATGCACTTAATCCCCTTCACCTGTCTCAAGCCCTGCCCTCATCCACCTGCCCCCTGGCAACCACCAGTTTGTTCTCTATATTTAAGAGCCTGGTTTGTTGTTGTTGTTGTTGTTGTCTCTTTTTTTCTTTGTTTTGTTTCTTAAGTCCCACATGTGATGGTCTACACCATTTTTAAAAGTTGTTGACACTCATTCCAAATGTTTCAGGTTTCCATGGAACCACATCTTACTTAGTAGATGCATCATTTTTAATACCACATAGATGTAGGAAGTCAGATTCTTTCCCATACTAATCAGAGAACTGGAAACATCTCGAAACATATAGTAGTCCTACTTACGTGTGCTTTGAGTAGAATGATTGAAATTCACAGTGCAGACACTACCATTATAATTATAGTCTTTATGATTGGATTGATTAATCTAAATGGAATGTGTGTGTTAATAATGCCACTCTACATTTATTTTGTTTCATAGCCTGAGTAATAAACAGAGGCAGACTAACCTCTAATTTAACAACTACAGAGCGTGATATGTCTGTTCCTTGCAGAGTGACACAATCTTTGCTTTGCCCAGATGTGTGAGCACTTGACTCCTTGTAATGGTGCTATTTTGGCTTCAACCATTAAAAGTCACTAACTCTACATAATCACATGCTGCCTTGCCTTAATAGCTGAAAACTTAATTAGGGGGTGGTTTGCTAAACCATAGTAATCTTTCTTTTAAATCAGGGTTACCAGCACTTCATTTCCCTCTCAAGACAAGTACATCACTAACAAATATCACTTATTCTTTAATGATATTTAAGAAAATATTTAAGGAACACCGCCTGCTATATATGGGAGGAAGTCATCCTTTTCAGCAACCACAACACTCTGTTCTTTACACTGTTACCTACCTCATCAAAGTCATCGCCAAATCCAACCCGCTGAGAAAAGGCTTCTGAGATTTCTTGGGCAATATCCTGCTGCTCTGTGATCTCTTGCATCAAATCATCTATTTTGTTCAGATCCCTGGGAGATAATATGCTATTGAAATCTTTTAGAAGTTTACTTTAAAATTATGAGTTTAGATATAATCCCATATGAAAAATGAGTCAATTTAATGTAAACTCTTAGTTATTTCAGTAGGATAACAAAATTTTCTGGTGGTAAGATTTATCAACTTTAAAAATAACTTGCATTTTGGGCACCTGGGTGGCTCAGTTGGTTAAGCGACTGCCTTTGGCTCAGGTCATGATCCTGGAGTCCCAGGATCTGAGTCCCGCATCCGGGCTCTCTGCTCAGCAGGGAGTCTGTTTCTCCCTCTGACCCTCCCCCCTCTCATGCGCTCTGTCTCTCTCTCAAATAAATAAATAAGTAAATCTTTAAAAAAATAAAATAAAAATAACTTGCATTTCAAGAAAATTAATAATCCTACATTTGCACATGTATTTTAAATATTTGATAAACAGCCATTACATTTGGGAGGCACTAGAGACTAAAACTAACAATATTTGTAGATGCATTTTGAAATTTTGTCTGGTAGGTAGGGCATATGTAGAATTTAATAATATATGCTGCTGTGTATCAAGTCAGCAGGAAATGGTGCCATAGACCACCGAGGATCATCATGACCAAGATAAGCTGTGGCAACACTCAGCAGTCACTGACAGCAGCCTTTTAGAGATGCTGGACTCTGGAACCAGAGATTTTTCTAGAATGCCTCATGGTTCTGAGATCCTGACTCCCTGAGGGCTTTCCCATAGCTGCTGATGCCAGAGGGAGAACACTAATGAGAACAGGGTGAGGCCTAGGAAGTTTCTAGCACCTGAGCGCCAACCCCCCCCGCCACCCCCCCCCCCCCCCCCCCCCGCACCCTAACCACCAGCCTAAGCTGTCAGGATCTGAAGGCCAGGATCTGGACTGCTTCTCTACCACCCTGTCTCTGAATCATTCCTCCAGCTCTGAAACTAGGCCAAACTGATGGAATACCAGAGAAGTGACAACTTTCCTTATTATTAAGCAACCTAAACACTGAAATTGTGACTCCCAGTGGAATAAATACTTTGCAAGTTTCCCAGACTATATATGGGAAAAGCCAAGTAGTTTTACATAAAAAGTTTTCTTTTAGCATCCTCCTATCATCCCTTATTTCCAATTATTATAATTACATTTATAACAAATATACAAGGAACTTATTTATGACAAGGAATAAAGTCTGGGCCTGAGATTGAATTTTTCTCAAAAGGAATACAGTGGAATGTGGCTGCTCAACTACCTGGGGTGAAAGGCTGTGATTCTGTGATGCAGTTAGCACCCCGCTTATAGCAGTGAGAGAGGATTTTGACTCTGATAATGACTCTAATGATCTTTCTGAAGCTGTCAAAATGACATCTGATTGTCAATGAATTATCAAGGCAAGAAAATGTCGGCAAAGATGTCTTCACTGGCCCCCGCCTCCCACTCTCCCACTTTTCCCATCCAGGGACACTTCTCTATATCCCTCAGGCACTCATTGTTCTTGTGCATCTTTGACCCAGAGGTCACTCTCACAATCCAATCTCAGGAAAGCATCAGGTCCCAGGCATAGATTTCCTAGTGTGGATGTAAAGCAAATTATCACCAGCCCCACTACCACTATGAATATTGACAATGAGTGCTTACTTTGTGCCAGAAACTAGGCTAGGTGCATTGTCTCTAGTATCTCATTGACTTTCACAATGACTACACAAGGTAAGCACTATTATTATCTCCAATTTACAGCTAAGGAAATTGAATCAGGGAAAGGCAAAAGTAATTTGCTCAAGGACAGCTGGTAATGAAACTGGGATTATAACTCAGAAAATCTGACCTCAAATCCATCTCATAGCTATTATTCCAGGTCAGGGTTTCCCAAATACCTGTTAGTATCAGAATCACCTGGGGAACTTGGTGATAAAAACAAAAAGGCCCAATCCCTACCTTCCTTCAAGGAGCCTGGGCATCTGTGTTTTCTTTTGCAGTTTTCCAGGCTTGATAACCAAAGTTTGACAACCATTATTCGATAATTCTAACACTCTCACAGATGTTGACATTTAGGCCTCTTTAAAAAATACAGTGTGAGGGGCACCTGGGTAGCTTAGTTGGTTAAGCATCTGACTTCAGCTTAGGTCGTGATCTCAGGGTCTTGGGACTGAACCCTGCATTGGGCTCCCTGCTCAGTGAGGAGTCTGCTTGTCTCTCTCCCTCTGCCCCTCCCCCTGCTCATGCTCTCTCTCTTTCTCTCTGAAATAAATAAATAAAATCTTTAAAAAAATTTTTAGGGCACCTGGGTGGCTCAGTGGTTAAACGACTGCCTTCGGCTCAGGTCATGATCCTGGAGTTCTGGGATCGAGTCCCATGTCAGGGTCCCTGCCCAGCGGGGAGTCTGCTTCTCCCTCTGACCCTCCCCCCTCTCATGATCTCTCTCTCACTCTCTCGCTCTCATTCTCTCTCACTCTCTCTCTCTCAAATAAAATCTTCAAAAAAAATTTTTAAAGCCTATAGTATGAAAGTATTTACAGGTGGAGTATCAGACACTATTGAGACAACTGAGAAACATAAGGGCGAAATGAATGTCTTCATTTTCTCATGGTCCTTTTTTTTTTTTCCTACTCTAACTTCTAATCTTTCTTTGAGGGGGCATTCCATTCCAACATGTCAAAAAACCTCAAATGAGTAACTCCATTCCTGCCAAAATCATCATATAGCTCCAAAGGCTCTTCTCAACATTGAGGGAATTTATGACTTGGAGGGAGACCAAAGTCACTCACATGTTTTCATGAACTGCTTTCATCGCTTTTGCCGCAAAGCCCATGTTTCTTAACACCTCGGTGTTGGTGTGTGAATTTTCCAGGGCTTCTCTCTGGAACTCAATGGTGGAAAGTGTGCCATCAATCTGAGTGAGCTGCTTCTCCAACCTCTTCTTTCTCTTTAGTGCCTGCAATGCAGCTAAATAAGGGAGAAGCCACATTTATAAGGAGAAAGCCCAAGCCACTTACTCAAGAGACATTTGCTCACCACCAACCATAGACTCAGCATTGTTGATCCCTACAGACACCAAGGATGCCAAATACAGCTGACAAACTAACACTAACATTTGTCCTTTCAATCACTGACACCAACTACCACTCCCTCAAACATTTTGCTATTCTTTTCTTCCAAAGATCTGGCAAGAGGATGAAAGTGTCAGTTTTCATATTCCATTAAAATATATCTCAGAAGTATTTCTGTCAGTATAGGATTTTAGAAAAAGAATAGATAAAAATATGAGTAAAAATCATGCAGTAGAAAAATAAAACTTTAGAGGAAGAAAAAAAATCATAGTAACTGTCTATTCTAGCCCAGTTTCTTTATTTCAGAGACAAGCTAAGTTATGTGACTTTCTTGAAGGTAGACAGTGACTGGCAGCTAGAACCAAACCTAGGATGATGAGGTTCATGTCTTGGTCTAAAATGATTATGAGGTGGTCAGCAAGGTTACATCTAACCATGAGCAACCATAAAATCAACACTGTTAGAGTCATACTCAAGGATTAGATGGCATGCTGGTAATAGAAAAGAGTGTTGCTTTCAGCAAAATATCCAAATACCCTCCTGGTTTAGCTCTTTACCTGCTTCATTTGAAAATCACAAAGCTAAGAGTCTTTTTGACTCTGGCACTCCTGCCAAAAAAGACCTTAAAATAGGAGTTTTGATAGGGTATTTAAGGAGAGTGCAGGAAAAGAGCAGCAGAAGAATGTTAATATAAAGATGATTAAATGGAATCGGCAAAAGAACTCCAAATAGCTTTACGGTTTCAGAGCGAAGCACGTAAGTTACTGCAACAGAGATCTGAGAGAAGGCTCTCTTCGAACTCTGTTCTGTCAATTTATTCTTATAATTCCAAGAGATTTGGTTTACTTATTCTAATGCTTTTTGTTTGGTGCACAAAGACTCATAGTCATTACAGTTTGTCAGATTTTACTGGCATCAATATGAAATATTACTCTATGTCCCATTTAATCCTCTTTGCCTTAAATTTCATTTTGTTTTATATTAATGTTTCAGCTTTTTGTTACAATTTGCCTATAATAATTATGGGGACCTCTACTTCAAAATTGTTTTCCATTTGCTCTATTGCACCTATTACAGATAGCATATACTTGAATATGTAGTTTGTGTGACTGTTTTCGACCCATTCAGATAGTCTCTTTTAACGTAAGATTTTAAATCATATTTATTGTGATAACTGATATGTTATCTAATATCGTCTTTTTATTATCATCTTTTTGTGTTTTCTGTTGTATTTTTTGTTTACTTCTGCTGTCTTGTCTTTATGTATATTGATCAAATTTTCTTTGTTCATTTTCCCCCCTTTAATTTGTTGGATAGTTATATATACTAAATTTATTCTCCTGAGAATACTCTTGTATTTTAAAAAGACACATACAATTGAGTTTTCTATCCATGTTGAAAATTAATCAGTATTGATAATTTACTGTTCCAAAATAAGATTCCTTTCTCACCCCAGACCTTCCAATGTTTGATTGAAATAACTGCAATTTTATTACTTCTAGATGATTACTAGCTGTTTTCACTAACCTTTCAACTTTTAAGGAAACTTTTCTTAACAATTGCATTAAGTTTGACAGATTTTCTTACTAATGATTCTTGTATCCTACATCATCCTTTCATGAATTATTTTTACTTTGCTGGAATAAATTTTAAAGTGTTTTTTTTTTTCCAGAAAAGGTGCATAGATATAAATTCTCTAAATACCTACAGATCTAAAGATGTCATCTTGTTTCAAACTTGAATAATAGTTTGGATTTTTTTTTACAGAACCTCTAGGTTTAAAATATTCCAAAAATTTTAACTATTCCATTGTCATTGGGTAATCAATATTCCAAAGTTTGATAATAATATTATTTTCATCCCTTTGTAGAAAATTTGTTAGCCTATTTCCTCTTTGGAAACGTTTAAGATTTTCTTTTTTACCTTAGAGTTATGAAATTTCACCAGCATAGGGCTAAGTGCGTGCCTTTTATTTTTTGCTTTTCCCAACTAAATATTCGGTGAGGTTTTTGTTTTTTTTTTATTCTGAAGAATTAAGTCTTCCTTCAGCTTGGGGAAACTGTATTCTTTAATGTTTTTTATTACTTTTTCCCCCTCCATTATTTTTCGCTTTCTTCTTATTTTTTTCTTAAGATTTTATTTATTTATTTGAGAAAGAGGGAGAGAGAGAAAGAGAGAACATGAGAGAACATGAGCAGGGGGAGAGGCAGAGGGAGAAGCAGGCTCCCCACCCAGCCTGAACCAAACCCAGATGCTTAACAGAGCCACCCAGTTGCCCCTGCCTACTTTCTTTTGAAATCCCTATTTTTTATTTATTTATTTATTTTTTTTTGAAATCCTTATATGATGGATGTTGGATTCCTTGGCTCTATCCTCCAATCTAATAATTTTTTGTTCTATGTTCTGGGATAATTCCTTAACTTTATATTCTGAATTACTAATTAGTCTTTAACTACATTTATTCTACTTTTTTACCCTCATTTATTTTTATTATGTTTTTCAATTTCTAAGAACTTTTTCTTCTAGCTGCTCATTTTTACGGCAGCCCATTCTTGTCTTATAATTCAATAGCCTCTTGAATCTCCCTGAAGATACCAACACAAGTTTTGTCTTTAACATTTTTTATTTCCTACATTATCTCTTGGGTTTGGTTGTTTGCTTTGCTTATCTTAACCCTTTCTTGCAATTACCTTTCATCAAAATTCTTTTGAGTCTGTGTTAAAAGCTTTCATTTATAAATGAAAGACTAGAATAGTTAGTGTAAGTAGCTGGGCTACTTGTAGTTACGTAAGTGTGTTTTCCCATGAGGTCTTGAAAGGCAAGGCTGCCCGGAAGCTCTGCAGAAGAAGTAGGTGTGGTATTCCAAGGGAGGGAGCAAGTAGACAGGCTTGGCAAAGAAAGGCTTTATTTTAGGTGTGGAATTGTTCTCTATCTCCCTGGTGAGTGGTAACTGTCTTCCCATCCCTCCCTGCCCACTGTGGAAGTCCAAGGTTATCAGGTTCTGCTTGGCTTCCCTCTCCAGGTGCAAAAAATCACAACTGAAGTCCCTGCTAAATAGCACTGACACTTTATTTAGAAAAGAGTTTTTGCATGAGAGACAATGGACTCTGAAAAACAAACTGAGGGTTCTAGAGGGGAGGGGGTGGGAGGATGGGTTAGCCTGGTGATGGGTATTGAGGAGGGCACGTTCTGCATGGAGCACTGGGTGTTATGCACAAACAATGAATCATGGAACACTTCATCTAAAACTAATGATGTAATGTATGGGGATTAACATAAGAATAAAAAAATTAAAAAAAAAAAAAAGAGTTTTTGTTTAACCCGTCCTTTAGGAGAGAACTAAAACAATTTTTTAAAAATTATCTGCATAAAGGCCTTTCTTTTTTTTTTTTTTTAAGATTTTATTTATTTTTTAGAGAGCGAGCGAGAGAGAAACAGCATGAGAGGGGAGAGGGTCAGAGGGAGAAGCAGGCTCCCCGCTGAGCCGGTAGCCCGATGTGGGACTCGATCCCAGGACCCTGGGATCATGACCTGAGCCGAAGGCAGACGCTTAACCATCTGAGCCACCCAGGCGCCCGCATAAAGGCCTTTCTATGATATCACACAATATCCCCTGTAGAGAGGCTCATCACATTAATGACCAGAGCTGTGCAAGGGCTTTCTCCCCAACATGGGAAGAATGGTCAATTGACTCCCTGTGCTAACACCCTACCTGTGGATCCATATCTACTGCTGCATTTATCACACTGTATTATAATTATTTGTAAAACCTATTCTACCCATCTCTACTACACCAGTTATAAGCCCTTTGAAGAAAGATGTAGTATCCTATTCCCCTATTTCCCCAGTACCTGGCCCAGGTCCTGGCACACAGCCAATAAAATACATAACAAAAATTAACATCGAGTATTTGTTATATGCCAAACTGGTGCTTAGTGCTTTATGTGAATTGTCATTAACTCTCACAAAAACTCCAAGAGTAGATGCTATTATTGGTCTACTTTCCAGAAGATGAAATGAATGAATATCAAATAAATAAATCTGATAATTTTGTAAACATAGAAATGACAGCATGGTATAATAGAAAAAGTATGGCCTTCAAGGCCAGAGTGTGACTTCTTCTCCCATGACTTAATAGATGTGTACTCTTGGGTAAGTCACTTCCCTTCTTTGTGCTTCAGTTTGCTGTTCTGGAAATGGGGATATAATCCCCACAATGCAGGATGATTGTTTTAAGAATTAGGGATATTATGGAAAATTAGGGAATTATGGAAAATACCTTATACAGTCCCCATGCAAGGTAGATACTTAGCAATTAGATATTATTATTAAAAATAGCAATTTATGTAACACTTATTAATTTATGCAGTTGTGTATCTTATATCTGAGGCCAATGAGCAACAAGTTACCTGTTGTTTTTTTTGGGGTTTTTTTGCCGTAACTCACCATAACAGGAACATAATATTAGAAAACATTAGAAAATATTAGAAAATCTTAGGAAGCTAAACTTCAAATACACATCTCCACCCAACATACCCAGAAGTGGAATGTTCCAAGTGTGTCTCCTCCCTATCTTGTTAGGCTGGTTCAGTGAAACTTAACTGGTATCCACTGACCCAAAAATATTTTCCTTTTTTTAGAAAAAATTTATATTTCTCTATTAAAAAATATACCATGTTTCCTGGTAAGAATTAATTTTAGATTACTTTCTAAAAATCAAAAAATGCAATTTGATATAAAGGATGAGACTTCGGAGTTACTAGATTTACATTTTAATCTTACCCCTACCAATTATTAACTGTGCATAATAACCTTGGAGTGTGACCTTAACTCTTAAGTGACATTCCCTACTTGGATAATAATGATAATAATAATAGCAACAACAATAATACACAG